TAGGGGTGGTTGGTGGGGGGGGGGTGGGGGTGGGGGTAGGGGGGTTGGTGGGGGGGGTTGGGGAGGGGTAGGGGTGAGGGGGTGGGGGTGACCCTCCCCCTTCCGGTCCCACTTCCTCTGAGCCCTCCACCCGGTGGGACAGGAGCAGCGGGAGGACCTGTTCCCGGTCGTGGTGGGTGAACGGCCGCGCCGCTAACCCTATACTGGGGGCGCGGCTGGTCCGGGCCAGCGGCTGAGAGAGAGGGAGACGCGCGGGGCGAGGCGGCGGCCCCATGGCGGTCGCGGTCGGGCGGCCTGGGCGCCGCCTTCCCCCGGCCGTGACGGTCGGTTGGCGGCAGGGGTTCGAGCTGGCTGTGGCCGCAGTTGGTCTGTGGAGGCAGGCAGGCAGGGCACCGCCGCCGCCGCCGCCGCCTTCCCCGGGCGTGGCGGTGGGTTGGCGGCAAGGGATCGAGCTGGCTGTGGCCGCAGTTGGTCTGTGGAGGCAGGCAGGCAGGCAGGGCACCGCCGCCGCCGCCGCCTTCCCCGGGCGTGGCGGTGGGTTGGCGGCAAGGGATCGAGCTGGCTGTGGCCGCAGTTGGTCTGTGGAGGCAGGCAGGCAGGCAGGGCACCGCCGCCGCCGCCGCCTTCCCCGGGCGTGGCGGTGGGTTGGCGGCAAGGGATCGAGCTGGCGGTGGCCGCAGTTGGTCTGTGGAGGCAGGCAGGCAGGCAGGGCACCGCCGCCGCCGCCGCCGCCGCCTTCCCCGGGCGTGGCGGTGGGTTGGCGGCAGGGGATCGAGCTGGCGGTGGCCGCAGTTGGTCTGTGGAGGCAGGCAGGCAGGGCGCCGCCGCCGCCGCCGCCTTCCCCGGGCGTGGCGGTGGGTTGGCGGCAAGGGATCGAGCTGGCTGTGGCCGCAGTTGGTCTGTGGAGGCAGGCAGGCAGGGCACCGCCGCCGCCGCCGCCGCCTTCCCCGGGCGTGGCGGTGGGTTGGCGGCAAGGGATCGAGCTGGCTGTGGCCGCAGTTGGTCTGTGGAGGCAGGCAGGCAGGGCACCGCCGCCGCCGCCGCCTTCCCCGGGCGTGGCGGTGGGTTGGCGGCAGGGGATCGAGCTGGCGGTGGCCGCAGTTGGTCTGTGGAGGCAGGCAGGCAGGCAGGGCACCGCCGCCGCCGCCGCCTTCCCCGGGCGTGGCGGTGGGTTGGCGGCAAGGGATCGAGCTGGCTGTGGCCGCAGTTGGTCTGTGGAGGCAGGCAGGCAGGGCACCGCCGCCGCCGCCGCCTTCCCCGGGCGTGGCGGTGGGTTAGCGGTAAGGGGGCGAGCTGGCTGTGGCCGCAGTTGGTCTGTGGAGGCAGGCAGGGCACCGCCGCCGCCGCTTTCCCCGGGCGTGGCGGTGGGTTAGCGGTAAGGGGGCGAGCTGGCTGTGGCCGCAGTTTGTGTGCGGAGGGAGGCAGGCAGGCAAGCAGGCCGGCAGGCAGGCCGTCCGTGGTTTGCCGGGGCCAGCAGCGAGGGGATGATGGCCCATCGGCGGCCGAGGGGACTGTACGGACGGACGACGGACGGACGGCAGGCAGGCCGTGTGCGGACGGTCGCTTGCCGCCGTTGCCGTTGGCCTTGCGAGCGGGCAAGGCCCCTTTTTCGACCACCCGCGCACGCTGGCCCTCGCCTCTTGGCCTCTTGGTCCGGCCGTGCAGCACGTTCCCTGCCTCCGAGCAGCTTCGCCCTGCTGTGTTGCGGGCCGCAGCCGGGCTGCGCGCTCCCGGGCCTCCCGGGCGTCCGGGAGCGCGGGCAAGGCCTGGGTCCCTTGGGCCGTGGCCGTGGCCGTGGCCGTGGCCGTGGCCGTGGGCGGGAGAAGCGGCGAGCGAGGGCGTCCCCGGAGCCCCGGGTCTGTCGGGCGGGCCCCGCTGCCGCTGGTGCCGGCTCCCTCCCCTTCCCGGCAAGGCTGGTTCCGGGGCAGCCTTGTGGTGGCGGCGGCGGCGGCGGGGCCGGGGCTGTGGCTGGTGTGTGCGGGCGCGGCGGAAAGGGGCGTTGGCGGTCGGAGGAGGACGCCTTGGTGGCGGAGCGAGGCCTGGGTCCCTTGGGCCGTGTCCGTGGGCGGGAGAAGCGGCGAGCGGCGGTCGAGGACGCCTTGGTGGCGGAGCGAGGCCTGGGTCCCTTGGGCCGTGTCCGTGGGCGGGAGAAGCGGCGAGCGAGGGGCGTTCCCGGAGCCTCGGGTCTGTCGGGCGGGCCCCGCTGCCGCTGGTGCTGGTGCTGGTGTGTGCGGGCGCGGCGGAAAGGGGCGTTGGCGGTCGGAGGAGGACGCCTTGGTGGCGGAGCGAGGCCTGGGTCCCTTGGGCCGTGTCCGTGGGCGGGAGAAGCGGCGAGCGAGGGGCGTTCCCGGAGCCTCGGGTCTGTCGGGGGCTGCGAGGGGGCGTGCGCCTTGACGGGCGGGCGAGAGGGCGGCCTGTTTGGGGTGGTGGGGGCGGAACGGCCGCGGCGACAAGTGTATGGGGACGAAGGGGGGTCGCTGGCGTTTGGCTGGCTGGCTGGCGGGCGGGCGGCGCCGGGGCCGGCGAGCGAGGCCTCGGTGGGCGGGCTCCCTCGCGGCCGCGGACGGGTATCCCGAGCGTGGTCGGCTCCCCGCCGTCCCCGGGCGGGGTTGGTTGTCGTCCAGGCAGGCAGGCCCTGGTCGGGCCCTCCTTCCTCCCTCCGCCGCCTCCTGAGAGGGCTCTGAGGCCGAGGCAGCGAGGCTCGGGGAGGTCCCCAGAGCGAAGCCGCGGTGCGGCGAGGGCGTGGGTCCCCCTGGAGGGGGTGTCCTCCCTGACGAGCGGGCGGGGGCGGCCCCTGTTCGCGGTGGTGTTGGGCGAACGGGCGTTTTGGCAGCTGTAAGGAGGCACGCGTCCGTGCGCGTCTCCGGTCCCTCATCCCCTTCCCCAATGGCCTCCCTCCCCCGCCGCCCTGTTGCCGAGGCCCTTTGTGGTGGTGTTGTTGGTGCTGGGCGCGTGGAAGAGGTTGTTGGTAGGTTGGCGAGCGGCAGGCGGGGCAGCCTCCTGGCTGCCATGGCCCAGCCGCAGCGCACAGCAAAGGTCGCGGGCTCGCGCCACGCATCCGGCCGGGGGCCGCCGGGGTAACCATTCCCCGTGCCGCCCCCTCTCGAGGTCGGTTGTGGCCCTGCCCTTCACACAGGCGACCGCTGCATTCTAGACGTTCGGAATGGTTTCCGAGTGCCGCCCCCGCGCGGCCTCCCCCTCGCGACGGTCGAGCTCCCTGCGGTTCTTCTCCCTTCGGCCACGTTGTTGCGTCGATAGCGTCGAGCTAGATCCCGGGTTGTGTTGACACCCTTGCGGCGAGAGCTGAAGAAACCCCCGGCAATCACACACCCCTTCCCTTACGCGCGCGCGCGCGCGCGTGCGTGCGTGCGTGCGTGTGCGCGAGGGAGGCTCGGGGGCCCCAGCGCCCCCGCCCCTTCGCAGGCCCTGCGAAGGGCCTGCGACCCCCTTACGACGATGGCAAGAAGCGAAAAAAGAGAGAAAGACGAGACGAGAAAGGGATCGCGCCCGGGTGGGAGCCTGCCGCGGCCGTTGCTCTGGCCCGGCAATGCTTGTTCTCTCCCACCCCTGCGTGCGGCGCACCCTGAGATGCCATCCGCCGGTCCGCGCCCCTCTTTCCCTGCTGCAACCT